AAAAAGATAAACTCTGGGTCTAGTTGCTTGTAAAAAAATAAGTGAAAGAAAATAATTTGTTAGATCATAAGAAAGATGGAGGGTTTCACTCTTGGCAAGCAATTAAAAAAGCTATAAATGTTATTCCCTTACGGCCTGGTTGCAACCTATAATACATCAATGAATGGTTTCCAAGGAACATTTCGATCAATAACTATATAAACATAATACAAGCATAGAATATTGTATGAACATCTTTTATTTTATATTACATAAATTTCTAATGTAAATTTCGACAGAATCTCCCCTAATGTATGAACATTTTCTTATGTATGTTAACACCTAATACAATAATAAGCATTTCCTTCACACATATTCTATATAGGTGATTGTTGTGGTGCTCTTACATTTGAGGGGGTATCAGATGCCACTCTTACAAGGCTTAATATCATTGGTTTAATTAATTTATAATTTATTTTAATTATATTTATTTTATATTATAAAAAAGTCCTTTAATATTTTTTTATTACAAAAATGTCCTGAAAAAAATAACAAGGAACTTATAGCTACGATTCTGTTCTTCCCTTCTACTCAAGCTTTTGAATAAGTTTTTTTTTTATCACTAATTTTCTTGTTAAATTCCCTAAAGATGTTGAAATATATCTTAATTTTGTTGTTGCCTGAGTTTGGATTCGATGTTGAAATATCAACGGGTTTCGTAGATCTTAATCCTTGCCACAGGTAATTATTAATTAAAGTTTCAAAAATTTTCATAGCTTCAAGGATGAGAGGTTTTTGAAGGAGGAGCAAAATGAGTGATTCAAGGATTATTTCTATTTTCACCACTTGATTGAACCCTATCTCATGCTCCATTCTTTCTATATGCATTATGTGTTGAAATTGAAGAACACCATAATGGAAAATAGGTGCTGAAAGAGTTTCCTAGAAATGAAACTTTCTTCAAAAAAGTTGTATTACGAGTGAGGGTTGTATAGAGTTAATTAGAAGGATGGTGATTTTGAGGATCTAGATAGAAGTGAGGTTCGCAGGATTCTCCTCAAGGATGATGATTTCAATATTGATTTAGTAAAGAACAGAGGTAAATTGAAGGAATTAGTGTCATGGAATAATGCAAAAGTCAAAGATGTTCCGAGGAAGGGCTCTGCTGAAGCAAATAAGGAGGAATTTGTGGTAGATGTGCCTATTTCAAGTGAATTGAATGGTGCGTCATTGGGTAAAAATGATGAAGAAGAGGGTGATGATGATGGCGTAAATGTTGATTCTTCGAGTGCCTCTAGTGCAGGTTTTAGGGATAGGGATTCCGAGTCTGATGCTGAGACACTTCAACCTTGCTTCCACCATTGCAATTGTCGTTGTCGTATGGAACTATTGGTGTGCCTGAGCCATGTGTTTCACACCTATTTGTTGTTTATGGATTCTTAAGATCATTTAGCATTCGCTTGTTTTTACTGCCTTTTTACTTTGAATGAGTTTGTTGGTTTCCTTAATTGCCAAATTTCAAACACTTAGTTTGATGCCATTCACATTTCGCTATTGCAAGCATTACAGCATAATCTTGAAACCATCTCATCTGAAGGCTCTAAGCTTGCATCACAATGTCTTAGGTGCTTGTATTTATTGTTGTGTGCTGTGGGATTGCATGAATAAGTAATTTGTTTAACTTAATGGTATTAATCTTTTTTTAGTGAAAACAGAGGTTGTGATAGATTATGATTATGAGACTGAAGATATCATTCCTTCAGAAGTTGGGCCAAGTGTTTTAGCATCAAAACTAGTCACAGTTCTACATTATATGATTTAGGGTTTATCACACAAAAAGATGTAAAGAATGTAAAAATAAATTAATGGACAATATCATATTCAAAATTGTAGGTAAAGATGAAGATAGGGTTTATATTCTTAGATTTGAGATCCAAAGAAAAGAAGTTAGTGAATAATATTAATTTTTAAATTTTCAAATAAAGGATCATTTAATAAATTAACATAACTATCTTAAAGGATTAATGAGGAAATATATTTTTCTTAAATCCTTTACATATAAAATTAAATTTACATATTTAGCCAGAGCATTATATGCCCCCTAAACAGGAAGAGTACGATAGATTTTGCCTTCTATATATTATATAAAACTATGTTAATAAATAAATTATAAACATACACATCACAATTCTAAAACCATTCTAAAGCACACTCCCTTGTAACTCTACAACATGCATATTCTGTAATTTTCACAAGCACAATCAAATTCCACAACAAACAATAATCAAGTTTGGAGAAAGACCTCTATGCTCATCCTCTAGTCATAAAATCTTGAGTCCTACAACTCTATCTTAGAAATCATGAGTCTCTATTCTACATCAAAAATTAAAAAAACTAAAATGAATAAAAGTTAGATTATCGTATCAAGAACACAATAGCAATGAGCAAAGAATTGAAAATGATAGAGAGATAGGAAAAATGGAAAGTGGGGAAGGAGGAGGAGGTGTTATTTTGATTTGTCTCGCAAGTTATAGACGAATATTTTTGTCCATAACTCTTTAATGAAACAATGTTTTAAAATATCAATTACAGAAGGACTTTCTCATCTATAACTCTATTAAATGCAATTATAGATGAAAAATTTGTGTGTAATGAGCTAAATGAAAAGACAAGAAAAATGTTCCAACATTAAAGACAAATTTTTCTGTATGTATTTTTCACACAAAAATTTCCACCTTTGTTTTAAATTACAAACGAAAAAATATGTTTGTAATTTATGTTTGTGATGTTAAGTGTCAAATGGTAGGCCGTTTACAAACGAATTTTTTACATCTATATTATAGAAAGATTTTCCCAAAAAATTTAAAAAAATTATTTCTTTTATTTTTCTTCTGTAATACAAACTGAAAATATCTACCTGTAAATTTTGTTTATAATCTGCATATTTCTAGTAATGAATTACTTTAGTCATTCATTAAGCTAACTTGTCAATTAGTAAGTATGTTGAAGACAAGTTTATTTGGTCAAGTAGTTTGGAGGAAAGTTATGCAGCAAAATATGGTTTTAACTAGCTCATTAGTAGAACTTCCCAGCAGTGTATTAGTTGGAGGTGGATTTGGCACCTTCCTTATGCGAAAAAGATTAAATTCCTAACTTGGCTTATTTATGTGATGTTCACCCCATAAATTACTTAAGGCATCATAAGAACTAAGCGCCTTCACCTATTTGCTTGAGATATCACACTTATACTAAGGACACTCTCCATTGTGTCAAAAACTGTCCAATAGTTGAAAAAATATGGGTTCATGCAAGTCTATGAAATGCAGGATTTGTAACTTCCTTTGATGTTAGCAATTAGATTATGACTCAACATAAAAGTAATTCTTCCTTATTTTTAGTTACACTATAGTGGATATGGAGGGCTAGAAATGTTGATTCCATTATTGGAAAAAAAAAAAAAGATCCCAACTTATAAAATTATGCTTGATGTTATGAATTTTACCAAGTAGCTTTATTTATGTGAACAAGTGCAACAATCTTAGGATCACCTGGAGCACTGGATTTGTTGGGAGGCTAATCAAATTTTTGAATTCATCCTTAATGTTAATAGGAGTGCTTAGAGGAGCCCATGAAGAGCTAGTTTCGGTGTTCTTATTAAAAATAGAGATGAAAATTGGCTTAGAGGAGCATTTGAGTGTTCATTCATTGACATTTTTTACAATACCTACGCTGAACTCATAATCATGCTTTAGAAGTTGAAAATGTACTTGGAATTTAAATATCAAACATCTCATGTTATTTTGATGCGAGAGGTCATAAACTTTGTAATAGAAATTGTTGCACCTTTTTATAAGTATGCTAATCTCATATGTGATATAAAAGAGTAACTGAAAAAAGATTGACAAATCATCATCAAACTCACTTTAGGTGAAGGCAATACATATACGGATCTTTTAGCTAAATTGAGAGCTTCTTCATATTTTGATTTCAAATATTAAGTCTCACTTCCTACAGACTTAAAATTATTTCTTTAAATGATACTAGGAGAGTCTCATATTTGAAATTATAATTTTTTTTCTTTTTCTTGTTTTTTTTGCTTCTCTCTACCAAAATATTTACTCTCTTTTAAATTATTAAATTTATTAAATTTAAAAATAATCATGTAATACATCTTTAATTTTTTTTATACAAAAAACTTATTTTAATTTAATAATACTTGTACAATTAACCAAAAAAAAAAAAATACCAATATGTCCATATATGTAATAAATGTTATTAATAAAAATCTTATAAGCAAGCAAGCAACACATAATAATGATATTATTGTTATTATTACTTGAATTAATTGCAAAGTCTATTTCTTATTCATAAAACTATAAAAAAAATTACTTTCAAAATTTAATTTTCAAAGTTAACAATATCTTCCAAAACCTTATTTCTGAAAAATACAAAAAAATAAAAATTATGGTATGATTAAAAAAAGCATGGTGCAAATAGTAAAAACCATTTAATAGATTAATTAAATTAGTTATTTGACTGAGAACCGGAATCCAGCCTGATTCAATAATACTTGACAACAATAAATTTATAAATTCAAATGAACTTTAAAAACATAAATTAAAAATATACGATATTAATTTTATATTTTAAAATCAGGTTTTAAGAAAATCGAGTTCTAATGATAATATAAATGTATTTAATGTATGCAAAACATTTGTGAAAACATGTCAATATTTCAATAATATGCCAAAATCTTTTTTATTCATAAAAATATTGAATTCCCACCTTTTCCTGTTGAAATTTTTTATTCAAAAATATAATTAAAATGACCATTCTCCAAAATGTTAATTTTTCTGAAAATATGATTTTGAAAAACTCATACCAAATACATGTATATAATATTTTCAGCTTTTGATTCTTTCAAATATCTAGTTAGGTAAATCTAAAACGTACAAATGAAAAGTATAGCTTAAGTTGTATTTAGGGTAATTTACTTTATGGTCACAAAATATTTTCCAATCAAAATTTTATTGAAAGATCTTTAAAAAAAATCCTAAAATCAAAAACCAAAATATGTGATTCGTTAATAAATTACAATCTTAAAAATATTACAGATTAACATAACACGAAAATAATAGAATGAATATATAAAAATAGATACCATAGTTAAATAATCAAATAGTGACAACAAAACAATTGACACACGACTGATCTCAGGCAAGCAAGAAGAGCATATTAAAGCTGCGGGCTCAAGCTACTCAACTTCAGCGATGAGGGCTATAAACTAACACAACATCCAGGTACAGCAATATGGTCGTATGGCACATGATATCATTTCTTCCCCTCAACAATTTCTATCAAGCTCTCTCTCCCCCTCCATTTGAATTTTACATCATGACCCAGCAAGCCCTGAATGAGCAGCTATAAATACAAAGCACCAAAGATGCCATATTATAAGGAATACCACATCCGTAACCATAATGTCACACAAGGAAAAGTTCATAGAACTTCCACAGCAGGAATCATTTTGGTTTGCAAGTAGCTCAATATCTGGGCCGAAAAAATCAAAAGCTCAACCATTTCGAGCCCTGCAGCAGAAACAGTATCCATCTTCTCATCAATGCATTCCTGATGCCCCGTGTCACTGCCCACACTATCTCCAACGTGACCAACATCTGCCTCATCTGACCAACTGATGGGTAAGGAGCTGCCAAGAGCAGTCCTTAAAAGTTTTGCCTCATTAAGAATGTCATTAAGAATTTCTGAAACACCGGAAACTATATCTTCAGAAGTCAATGACTCCTTAGCCTAAAAACCATATCAAGCAGGCAAACCAATGTTAACACACTATTTTAGCTTTAAAGTTACAAAATCTAAACGTTATATAAGATTTACTGTTACTTCTATACTAGCAGCTGAAGTTACAGTTTTTATTTATGACTAAAATATACAATCCCACCATGAGGAGGCCTCCCCTCCTCCCAACCGAACTCTTTAAAATATAAAAACTTTAATAGTTGTGGAACAAAAAATAGTATGATACCTTGAAAAGAGAGAGACGAAGCCTATGAATTGATGAAGTTAAATGCTCCATGCTTTCCATGCTTTCCTTAAGAGTTGCATTTTCAATCTTCATTCTGATAACATAAGCAAACTATGTAAGTAAACAGAAGGCTGAAAAGAAACAGTATATGTCAAATAGCTCTAATATGGCTTAAACTATCCAGAATCCCAAGGGGTTGTTGTTGGTCAAGTTAGACAGGTTGGTGTTGGTCAAGTTAGACAGGTGCAAACCTGACAAGTCATAGGTTCAAACTCCCACTTTTCTCCTTAGGGTAAGGCAAGTGTTAATTCTCTATAAGTTTGGACTAGGACACCATCTCCCTACCCTAACATTTTCATTACCATAAAAAATGAATAAACTATTCATTCACAATCATCCACCCATTGAGCAAAATCAGAATAACATGCTCCCAAAATTAACACATGCCTTGCAAAATCCATACTGTTGGATCTCTGATTGAAGAGTTTCCCTTCAATATTGGGACTACTGTCAACTTCATTTTGGCTAATAACATCCAATGGGCCAATCCATCGTCTCAAATACGATTTCTTCAGTAAGTTTTTCAAAGTTCCATCCCTTTCACGAGTAACAAGCTTTCTTTCTCCGGTGTCAACCACAACTTTTCCTTGTTTAGTCTCATGACCCAATTTTCTGCACATGCATCAGAACAAAATCTTCTTTATTCAAAATGACATTTAAAAGTAAAAATTTAGAAATTTTTTACCTAGCAGGAGAAAGAAAATAAAATAAAATTCAACTGACAGCAGATGAATGATTAAGAATCCAATTGGTGAGAAAAGGTCCTTTAAAAGCAAAATTAGAGGAAGAGATCCGATGTATTTTTAATTATTGCATTTATATACTCTATTACTTTGTTTGACATGTAATACAAGAAATTAGAATTTCAGATTGGATTTTATTAAAAATGAAATACCAACAAAGTGCCTGAAGGGGAAAGTGGTGGTGTTGGAAGAACAATGAAAGCCAATTATTAAAAAACAGAAGATAACAAAGCATGTTAGTGCAACTTTATCCTTTAAAATGACACAAAGAATAGAATTATAAAAATACTACTTTTTTTCTTAGGATATTTTTATTGAAGAAAAAGGAAATGGATGCTCAGGAAAAAATTCACCACAAAATAACAAAGTTACTGAGTATACAGTGATGCAAAAACATTGAATTAGTAATTGTCATCATAAAAGTTCATACTCCAGAAGTAACTGGTGTTCCTGCTTTAGTTGTGCCAATTCCATGAGAGCTTTCACCTTTTCATTAGTGACCTGAAGTAAAAAATAACAGCTTATGAATAAAAACCAATCTGTAAACAATGAATAATATCAATGATCCTTGCACTCGTGGTTTCAAAATATGATTGTTCTAGTCAACAATTCAGAGGCTTAGACATTATTACTAACATACTGTTTTACATATCTTGAATACGACTGTCATCACTCAGCATAGCTTAATCAATAAAAAAAATGAACAAAAAATATTACAAAATGAAGGAAAAAAAAAACATGAGAGCATAGGAGCCAAAAAATGTAGATATTGAAAACATATAACCAACTTTCTTCTCTGACCAATATAGTCTATATAGCATACTTAACACAACCATAAACCATTTCCAAAACTCTACAGCACCAAGCTATGAGCATCTCAGTATTCTCAGGTTGTTTGAAGCATCTGAAGCAATGATGTGTCAGACAATTACCTGTGACAAGTTCCTCTGAAGTTCTTCAGTTTTTCTTTGAAGGGCTGAATTCACATTTCTCTCCAATAGATGTCTTTCTTCCTGCTGTGATAAAAGCAATAATGCAGCAACCTGAAATATAAGGCATGGTAAACATCAGAAAATCAGCCAGATTGCAATAAATTGGAAGTACAAATACTTTTATTAGTGATGAGGAAAAGAAAACAAACAAATGGAGATTTTTAATAAATGTGAAGATGGTGTAAACACCTTCTCTTGCAAAGCCATTGCTAAAGCATCAGATGCACCACTTTTTCCACCAGCATCTGCTAACAGTGAGCTTGAACTATCCCTCTGTAAGAGAGTCATGAAAAAACTTAATGAATTCCAACTACTGCATCTTGTAATAGTCAACACAAATCAGTGAAATAAAGCCAGACTCTAATCTTGATCAAGTTAGGACATTTAATTTGCAACCCAGAAATATAAAACTTTTCACAAGGAAGAGCACTGCCATTACTATACCAACAGGATTAACTTATCTAAATTCAACAGGCTCCATTATGCTTAAAGTGACTGACCCAATTTCAACTTGAAAATGATTAGGATGGTTCAAGAAAAAAAAGTCATTTTCCTGGGATGTTCTGTTATTCCTTTTCCTCTACTTCTCTTCTTTCTAGTCCCTCTAATTTTATTTATAATACTTTCAATTCTCAGCTGTTTAAGCCATCAAGAAAAGTATGTTGCCATACATCTGTAATTTTGAATAATATTAAATAAATCACGTTATTTTACTAAACTCTGCACTACTCTACATGCCACCAATCACTACAAGTGCACTATTTGCTATTAACAAAAATGACATGTCCCTTTGAAAAAGGGATGCAGTACTAGCAAGCAGTTCAAACCTTGGGCTCTGAGACAGGTTTAGCCTGAGAGCTTATATGCACATCCCGACATTCATGCTCTTCTAGTTCTGCATCTCTTTGAGGGGTCAAATTTGGTACAGTACTCTGATCAAACCTCCTGATTCTTTCATCAATCACATTGATTATTGATTTCATACTAGATTCTCCATCACTAAGCAAATTGATAATATGATATCTGCACTTAGAATGATGATGCTTTAGGTCTGCTATTGCATTCTCAATCACTTTGTCCATAGAAATCTGCAAATAAGTTGTCAGATCAGAATCCACAATAAACAAGTGTACTAAAATGACATTTTTTTCTATTCAATTTTGAACGCACTCACATATTTCCTTTCCAGGACATTGACTCTCTTCCTCAAATGATTTTCAATTTCCAAGCCCTGAAGCATTCAAAATGGAAAAGAAATAACTGATGATTGACAAATAAGGTTAATAAGGCAGTGATAACAGAGGTAAACAAGATCATACCACCCTTAGTTTATTTTGAAGATAATCCACGGAATTCCTCAGTCTCTCCAGCTGTTCTTCTAATGCACTCTGTCTGAGAAATTGTTATTCACAATACATACAGAACATAGAATCTCAATACAATAATTTACTAAGGGTGTGTTTGGATAACTGCTTATTTAAACACTTATTCTAAAAGTTATTTTTAAAATGATAACTTATGTTATAAATTTAACAAAGAAATTTATTAGGATAAGCTGAAAACGACTTTTTTTTAATAAACTATACTAAGAAACTTATTGAAATAAACTGAAAACGGCCTATAAGAGTTATAAGTTATTTTCCATAAGTTCTTCATAAGTTCTTTCAAGCAGGCCCCAAGTATGTAACAACAGTAATATGTCATCACAGAAGCAAAGAGCATGCCAAATCAAACAAGCTTTTAAAGAATGTGGAGTTTTAGCACCTGTCGTTCTGAACACCATACTGAGTAACCAATATAAGGAATACATCACCTAACAATCATGGAAACAGAAAATCAGCGTTTTGAAATCTTACAATGTATTTAGAGGTGGAAGAATCATTGAAACTCCATGCCTTCTCAGGGTCACACAAAAGACATGCACATTTCTCATCCCAACTTGTATCTTCAAATTCTTTCAGAGAATATTGCCTAATCTGAAAGAACTTGTTTATTACCTGAAAATTCATGACAAGTATAATAGAAAAAGACCAAAATAAATTTATAGCTTGTTGTGAACTATCAAACATGAACAAATATCATAAATGCACCTGAATCCTAGTACTCTTAGCATAAAAAGTGAGTTTTGGTGATCATTTGCAAACTCAATTTCACATTATCTTTATTTAGAAAAATTGAATTTGGTTAAAAATAAGTTTGAAGTGAAGTGATTTATAATTGCAAACTCAAAGATCTTCACATTCACACTGGAACTATTGGGAGATGCAAAGAGCAATAGATATATGGTAACAGAGAACAAGAATAAATAACAGATAAAAATGGAAAAGTAGAGATAGACTCAGAGAAGCAAGAATGCCACTCTGCACCAATGCCTAAACCTCCCAAAATTCATTCACAGATTTGGTGTCTGTTCTGGTCTAGTTCCCACCATCATATTCCCTTCCCCATGGTTCCACCCAGTGTTGTCAAGATCGCGATCTTAATCGTGAGATCACACAATTTTGCGATTTTGCTCAACCTCCACAATCTAGATCGCAAACAAGATCGGAGTCAGTCAAGATCGCTGGGGATTGCGATCTTTTCCTGTAAGATCGTGGGATCATCGATCTGATCCGATCCCAGTGTTGGAGTCGGATATGATGACTCGGTTAAAAAGTACCCTTTCCCCATTAATTTTTGACCCACTTATACTACTGACCCCTATTGCATGCAATGACCAAACTCTGTGTCTGTGTCGTCTTCGTGTTTGTTATTCTGTGTGGGTGGCTCTGTAATGGGTTCTTCTGCGTGGGTGGTTCACACTCTCTGGGCATGCTTCTGCGTGGGTAGTCTACATTCTCTAGGCGTTGTGTTCGCGTTCCTTGGGTGCGGGTATTCTCTGCGTGGGTGTTTTGCCTTTTCTGTTTTGGTGTTTCCGGAGCTGCTGTTTGCCTGTTTCATTTGGTGGTTCACGTTTTCTTGGTGTTTTCTATTCTCTAGATATACCATGAGCCACTGTTTCAGTTTTGTTTCGCATTTGGCAGTAGAGAGGAATTTTTATGTCTTGTTATAAATACACCTTTCAATATAAATCTGTGAGTGAGGTTAATTTAAATGAACATTTTAATAGTGTTACTACCTAAAAATAATTTTATTAAAATTAATTTTCAAATTTATTAATAATATATTATATATTAAAATAAAATAATGTAATAAGATATTAACTTATATGTAAAATGGTATAAAATTAATTTTTCTAATATTTTTTTAAAAATTAATGAATATCATATTTTATAAAAAATCTATTAAACATTATAAGCGTCTAAGTTTCACCTATTTACTATAAATCTAAACACTGTTAACTAGAGCTAATACTTCAATATTATTTATTGCAAAGTACTATAAGTTGGATAACTTGTTAATCTTTTTAATTTTTAAAAAAATATTCTTCTATTTATTTTCTATTATGTGTTTTCTCACCTCAGCATAGATAGTTTAACTATGTGTTATGTTGAATCTTAAATTTAGAATATTTAAGTTTATATTTAACTAAATTCGGTAATTTAGACATTAACTTTTTATCTATGTAATTTTCTCTGGTTATATATATGTTTTAAGTATAATTTTACACATTCAATAGGATCTTACGATCTATCTTACGATCCCACGATTTACGATTTATACCCCTCTTCCGATTCTAGGTAAGATTCCAATTTTGACAACATTGGTTCCACCAATGTCCACCAGCCTCCTGTCTATTCTGTTAGGCTCCTCCGTGATATACTTCACCCCTGCAATCCTAATCCTACCTTTACTGTCACTGCTTCTGTTCTTTCTTTGGTAAATCCAAATTGGAGGCCCACCGGATCCAAAAATTGGGTTCCCATAAAAAAAAAACTAAGTTTTGTAGTATAACTTGGCATGAAATTCTCAACCTAATGCAAGACTACAATTTTTTCCCCTTCAGTCAAACATGCATTAAGGAGCAAACTTCATTGTAGTTTTACACAACTAAACATGATTTATTTTTTTTTTGCAAGATCACTTTTGGTTGCAGAACTTGCATTTGAGTCCAACAAATATATTGCATACTACTTTATCTTGGGAAAGATACACTTTTCCAAAGTTAGTAACTCAAATATGATTTAAGCTGCACCCTCTAAAATAGCCCATAGTTTATTACATCAAGAGAAAAACCAGCAACAGATCTTAATTATTAGTTAAAATTTAATGAAAATTACAAAAATCATTTGAATCTCACTCTCTCAGACTCTCACTTTTAATTTAATGATTCTCCCTCGCACTTTTGTAGTTTTTAATAAAATTTAGTCAATAATTAAGGGTGTATTAAATAGAATGTTTTCCTAGCACTCCTCTAAGATCAATAAAGATTTCAGCAGCACCAAAATTTCTAGTTTTCTTATTAATAGTATAACTAACCATTAAAAAATTCAGTCACGTGTTCTTAGTTCCATTAAATGCCACAACAAATGCAGAAAGTAATAGGAAATGTGTAGAACAACGCAGCTTTTGGACTATTACTTTCATATCCTGAGAAAACATTGGCTAAGCTCTGCACTGATTTAGAGTAAAATAGGGGGAAGAGAGTGAGAACACTACCTTCTTGAAATTTTCATTTTGCTGCATATGCAGTTCTTGATCAATCTGCAGAGCATCATTAAATTCCTTTAGTTTAAGACAATCTGAGGTGAGCTCCTCTACCCTGTGTTACAGATAGATTCCAAGTAAAATCAAAAAAAGTTTTCTGCAGTAAACCATGTCCTACATGTAATAAAAAAACAAAATAACAGAACAGTGGTATAAGTAATCATAGAACACTTACATAGGTATCAACCTTGCACTTTTTGCTTAAGAAGTTACCATTGTAGAAAAGAAAAATAACTTCTCCAATAGAGAGTTCACATGGTCCCCAATATAAAATAGAAGTGGACTACAAGTACAGGTGTTGAAGTCTTTTTGGAAATCAATTCTAAGGCTATATTTGGGAGTTAGGTTTAGGAAGGGAAGGGAAGATAGGGGAGGGATTAGGAGGGAATTAATCTTGTTTGGAAGTTGCTTAATTAGGAGGGGAAGGTTTTGAGGGTTTTTCTAAACCCTCCAAAACCCTCCAAAAGCTTGCTTTTTAAGTTCCCCCATTTTGGGGGTTTTCTCTCTCCTACTCTTTCATATTATTTTACAAATAGGATTTTTTTAACTTTTTTTTTTTTAAATGTTAGTTTTTCAAATGATAATTTTTTTAAAAAAAAATTTAAAAATAAAAATATTAATTTTAAAATTATTTATATAAGTAAAACCTATAGTCACTCCCCCTTCTCAATATTAAACATCCAAACAAGGGAGGAGTTTAACCTCCTTCTCCCTCCCTTCCCTTCCCTTCCCCTCCCCTCCTTTTCCCTTCAAACCCTTCTTCCCTTTTCTCCCTCTCCAAACTCCCAAACAAAGCCCAAGGAAAACACAGTTGCAACTTGCAAGCACAGTTTTGAAAGAAACGGATATAAAAGCAACTACGAAAACATAGCACTATCAATTTGTCAAATCAGATAAGATTAAGAAATGACTTAAAAAATAAAATTGCTGTCAAGGAAACGTCAAACACATCTCATGTATTGAACATGGCTGCAATAATTCATGGGCGAATTTCAGTACTTTGTCTTGTAGCTTCTTTGCTACACCAAGCATAATCAAGCAACAAGTGCATCATGTCTTCCCCATCATCTAATTAAATGAAATATAAACAAGATCTTTTCCAGGACTTTCCATCATCTATCTTCTCTTTCATTCTTTGACAATATATTTTAGTTGATAACATGCACTAAAATGATAGAAAGACTGAGAATACCTCTTATGAATACCATTTATTTGTTGCGACATTGTCTCCTCATTTTCTTTGGCCTTTTCAGCCTGGTAATATCACAAAGAATTTTGAAAATATCAACTACAGCAATACTAAGAGGTAGTACTTGTACTGTATTGAAAATGAGATTTTTCTAATGAAAAACAGCAACCAACATAACCTCAATTATCGCTTGATCTCTTTCTACAAAAGCAGCAGCCACACAACCCTGGAAAAATTTAACCTGCTTCTCAGCCGCCATATTCTGAACACGAGTTTGAAGTAATTAATCACAATATTCCTCATGTACAATTAAGTCAAAGCAGATACCAATACCATAAACCTCACAAGTCACAACACAAAAAAGCATGTTAAATCTTTTACAAAACCCTAGCATTTGCACAAGCAATTTATAAAGTGGATTAGGAACTCATCCCATTATGTTCTTGTCATAAGCCATTACAAAATTTTCTAGCAAATAATAAAACACTTCAGATGAATAAATGCAGAAAGTAATATCTGTTTGCAATTTTGTATCCAAGCTGGATACCATATCCAAAATGCAATTTCTATGCTTAAGTGCATAGAATAATGGAGTACAATTAGGGGGAAAGAGTGGGAGAGAGAGAGACCTTTGAAACCTCGGCACTGTGTAGATCTGCTAGTTGACTCTGTATACATACAGTGAAGTAAGTATGTAAACAAAATAAAAGGAAATTTTAAGCAACAGGTACCAAAAAAATAATAAAAATACAATAGCTCACTTTAATTCTGTAAGCCTCAGAAAGCTCCTCTTGTAGATTTAGATTGTCTCTTGTGCAAGCAGCCAACTTCTTTTTCAAGCTCTCAATCTCCTGCTCCAATCCAGCTGTCCTAATTGGGCATGGATTTTAATATAATGGATACTCTCTTTGCTGGGCTTCAGACAATAGATACTCATTGTACAAAGATTCCTTAACAAATAAAGGAAAAATAATAGATACCTTTGAAAATGCATTCGGGTAGCCACAGCAAGATAGCCAGGCCCAGCTTGCTGCATGCATAACTGCTCAATATCTTTCCGTAATTCATCACGCTCTACAAAATTATATACTCTGTAAGTTTTACATGTATAATAAATCACTTTAAAGCCAAATAAAGTTACAAAATAAAAACCAAAGCATATTGTGCCTAGAACTAGAAGCACATATTTCAATGGTCTCATGATCTGTAAAATGATTTTCTGATTATCATTTACAATCTGCATTGTACGAAACAACTATGAAGAAGGGAATGAAGCAACCAAAAGAAGGTGGCTTTCCCTTGTTTGGAATTGCAGAACTGGAGGACTTGGGGGCAACGATATCGTAGGGCCCAATGTTTCAAACGTTCAGTATTGGGAGAGAAATGAATTCATCCAATTATTTATTGACACTCTTGATCTTTATAAACAAGTATATTATAATATTTCAACTTGTAACTCAATTTAACTTCTCCCACAAAATTATAATAGAATAATATACAATAGTCACTCAAATCAACATTGGTCTAGACTCTAGCGTTTCTATCTAGACCTAGAACCATAAATTATAAGAGAGAGTTGAATTAACTTGTACAGATAAAAGGAGCACATACCCTGTTCCAGTTGTTGGATGCGAGCCAATAATGATTCATCATTTGTACTCTCAGTCATTCTGGATATAAATTATAGTAAAAGAAACTACCATCAAAACCGATGCATTTGAAAAGGGGGGCGGGCTTGAAAGCTCAATTCGTGTCACAACACAAAGCTCGTAGTTTATATCATCAGATAACACATGGCTTAGCAGTATGAAGTACAATCATACAAGATTCATGTGGAGAATGAAATCAAATGCCAAGCACTAAGATTGCAGCAGACAAGCTTAACTCCATAAAGCCTTTTCTATTCCCATGAAGAACTAACGAGCGTCTATAATGTTTCATATACATGTCCTTTAAGTAGAAAAGTAAATCAGAATGAAAAGCTGATGATGGCTCCTTTAATCTAAAGAATAAGCCAAAAAGATAGCTCTATTTGTCTAAAATTCTGCTAATTATTCCATAAAAGGGGTAAAGGTAGTGAAAATCAAAAACACAAATTCTGTAATTTCTCCTAGAAACGGAAATCCAATGAAGAGGCACAACTCACCTTCTACTTCTTTCCCCCTAAAAACAAAACTAATCCCAGTTGTACAAAATCAATAATAACTTCCAACAATATAATACAGGTAATAATAGCATAAACCTAAGTATAGGAAGATGAGTTGGGAGCAAGGAGTTGACCTGGAATAGGAAAACCAAAAACAATTAAGATGAAGATTCTTCAAAGAAGAGCGATAAGCTCATCAAGTCGCGCGCTTTCTTAAATTCTATCAACTTCGACAAAAGGGTTTCCACAGTAAATGGAAAAGATCAACTCGACCACACCACGACTTGACGATATACACTGTTTCGAATTTTCCCGTAAATATTATAGTATTAATTTGTAATTGTAATTATCAACATTTGATATGCGTTAATACATAGGACATTATAAAAGGATATTTTGAGAAAATAATCTTCTACTGCATCACATCATTTTTCTGTACGCTTTTTTTGCTTATTTATTTATTGCATCCTGTATTATTTTCTCTAACTCTATTTTTATGTTTCTTTCCTATTTTTACACGGTTTGAGAATTGGAGATAAATTAAGAGGAAGAAAATAAAAAATAATGATTATTTAAATTAAGAAAGAATAGATGAAATGGAGAAAAAATATATATAAGTTGGGTTTTATCTTTTGTTTTTTTGTTAAGTAGAAAAACATAAAAAAAAGAAATAATATTTTTATAAAAAAAATTTATTCTTATATAAAATAATACATATTCAATATTGTAACACTTAAATTATAAATTTTATTTTTACTTTAAATTATTAATCTAATTATTTATTATATATTTCATATTTTAAATAAATCTCAATACAATTAAGCATAAATATTACTTTAAATAATCATGCTAATTAGTGTTATGATGTTAGTTAATAATTACTAAATATTATTCTATTAAAAAACACACTAAAATGCATTAAAAATTACGGTAAAAGTATACATAACATTTTTAAAAATTATTAATATTTATTGTATCTTATTTTATTTGCTAATAAATGAGATTAAAGACGCAAAACAAACAAAAATTAGATCACATACCTAAGATACTAAGTGTTACCAATATTAAAGCTTAAGAAAGGAAAAAGGGAGGAGGGCATGTAAACTCGTATAAGGAGAAAGTTTTAAAAGACCAAATTTTGCTAAATGGTTAACGTACTTATTTGCTTCTCTAAACACATGCAAAATTCTAATAAAGCTAACAAATTTTAGGAAAATTCTAATTCTGCTAATGAGGACCCACAATAGATAGGAAAGCTGTTGCACATTAAGGATAAGTCCAACAGCTTCCTTTAAGTCACTTTTAATCCATATGATTTGAACCTGATGTTTAACCACCATTTGAACTCCTAAGAAGATTTCTCAAAGCTCAGTAACTAAAGGAGAACAAGGCTTCACATAGCTATAGAATCCAATAACTAGTTGACTATGGACATCACAAATCAGGCCTCTGCAAGCAAAAGCAGCAAAACCAAACCTAAAGACAGCTCCATCAGTATTCAACTTGAACTGGCTAGCTAAGGGAAGGTACCATCTAACACGACTTGTTTCATAAATCAAACAAGGAAGTCTTAGAATTAGGCTGACAACAATAAAAGGCATAATCAGCATCATATAAAGATTTAGGGTTATCAAAATAGTTCAAAAATATAAACTCGTTTCTATTCTGTCAAATATGCTAAACAACATAGCCAAAAATACCTCTCCAATTCTTAAAGTAATTGGAGATGAATCAGATAGGTTAAAAAATAGCCAATCAGAGATGTCCAAATTAAAAAAATAATTTCAATACTTAAAAAAAAATTAGATGATCCCAAATATTCCTAGCAAAATTACAATCTCTTAAAACATGCATGATGGATTTAGGCTAAACTTCACACCTAAGGCAATTAGAGGAAGAGGACATGTTCCTCTTAAACCTTTCCTCATTGGTGAGGAGCCTCCCATGAGCAATTTTTCACAAAAAAATTGAGTATTTTTTGAGAGGGTCATTCCAATTCCAAACAAGGTTAAAAATATTATCACAGCTAACAATGTTATGAGTAGGAGATGAAAGCAATTGATATGCATTTTTGATAGAAAAAATCCATTATTAGTTAGAGACCAGAACAAATCATTTGGACCATTGGACCTATTCGAGAGCTTGATAATAACTATGTTATTACAAATGTTATCATGTAAAATAGCTTGGATTCTGGCATAATCCTTGTTACCATTAGCAAAGAATAAAGCCACAAAAGTACTTAAGTCAACTTTAGGAATTTGACACTTAGAATAGCTAGCCATATTATTAATATTAGGGATCCAATTGTTAGTCCAAAATTTAATGGATAATTCATCTTTAACTAACCACCTCAGGCCTTGAGAGAATTAAGGCTGCATAGAGATAATATTTTTCCAAATGTAAGAAGTAGAACATTCCAACTTGAAACCTAGATTTTGGTCAACAGAAAACCTATATTTATGTCTAAGAATTCGAGCCTATAGATTTGTGGAGGAGGTGACTAACCTCCAACATAACTTAAGCAAGAAGACCTTATTCAGTTTCTTAAGGTCCTTAAAACCCAAACCTCCCTCATTTTTAGTTTTATAGATTTCCTTCTAACCCACCAAATGACTTTTCTTACCATTCAGAAAGCCCCAAATAAACTTCCTACAAAGACTGTTTATTTCATTACAACTAAGGAAAGTGAATTCATTCTCCAAAGGATGAGCTTTTTCCCAATTTCATCAATTAGAAAAGAAAAATTCTTCCTAATGGGTTTGGACAGGATAAGAGAAGGATCAAAATTCTTAAAAAAGAACAAAGAAGATTTATGAGTGCTAATTTTGAGACAAGAAGCAGTACAAAACTCTTCTAAGGCATTTTTAATAATAACAGCTTGATTAAGGTCAACTTTTGCTACTAAGATAATATCATTTGCATAGAAAAGGTGGGAAAACTTTAAAACCTTAGGAACCAAAGCTAAAAAGGACTCAGTCCTTATTCATAATTTTGTCTTGGATAATATGAGCTAATATCTCTAAACATAAGACACAGATTTAACGGGATAGGAGTTCCCCCTAACAAATGCCCCTAGAAGGGCTAAAGGATGCAAAGACACAATTATTCCAATTAATATGCATTGAAGAAGAGGAAATGTAGTGAGAGATGAGATTCACCAAATCAAAGTCTAAATCAATACTCTAAAGGGTTTCAGTGATAAAGTTTCATCTCAGCCTGTTATAGGCTTTTTCCAAATCTAACTTAATTATTATAAAATTAATCCTACCTTTGAGGTTATAGAAAGAGTTAATCAATTCTTGCAGAACAAGGGTATTATCAATTCCCTATCTATTAGGGATAAAACTGGATTGGTTTATAGAAATAAGGTGGGGGATTTTCTCAGCTTGTTGGCAATTAGCTTGGTGATGATTTTATAACTAACACTTACAGGGAAATGAGTAAAATTTTTAATGGATTCAGGGTTATCAGTTTTAGGAATGAGGGTAATTCCAATCTCATTTATAGGTTAAATTTTGGTGGGCTCTCTAAAGATATCCATAACAAAATTAAAGATAAAAGGAGCTAAAAAGTTTCCACCGACTCTTAAAAAATAGAGCATGCAACTATCAAGACTAGGAGATTTGAAATTGTCGATACTGAATAGGGAAGACTTGACCTTATCTAAGGAGATATTGGGAGAGAGCCTTTACCTATCTGAGTTCTTAAGAGGAGGAAAAGAGTTCAGGGTTATCAGGGTTATCAGGCGAAAGATATTAAAGGAAGGATCCAAATATAAATCCTAGTAGTAATTAAGAGCCATTTGTTGAAGTTTGAAAAGGTTATACTCCCAATTCCTAAATCATCTTTCAAGGCTTCAATAATTTTATTTTTATTTTTTTGTCTTTTAACTATAGTTGTAGAATGAATAAATTTGGTGTTTTTATCCCCAAGGTTGAGCCACCTAGCTCTATACAGGTGATACTAGTAAATCTTCTCCTGATCCGACATGTGCTAGTAATCCTTCCATAGGATTTTATGAGGTTAGTCAGGAAGGGGTTGTCTCCCTTAATTAGTTTGCAAGAAATTTCTTTTATTTTGTTTAATAAGCGCTTCCTTTTGTCAAAAAAATGTTACCAAAACAAGTTTTATTCTAGTCTAAAATATTAGTTCTAAATTTTTGGATATTCTTAGCCTATTATGAATTAGAATGAATCCAAGAGTTTTTAACCTAATTATGAAAATTAGGGTGGGAAATCCAAAGGGATAGAAATTTGAAAGGTTTCCTATAGTTATTTGATGAGTCTGTATTTTGGCATGTTTTTATAGCTTATATATTGATGAATAGTCATTAATTAATTATTATGTAGATTAATATGAAAAGGTCAAAGTTGAGTTTTGGGTGCATTTTTGGCCCAAATTAATTAGAAAATAGGGTTTCACAGCAGTCAGCATGCCCAAACCTATTAAATGAAATTAATTAGAATGACACGTACTTATAACCTTACACGACTATGCTCACCTACGAGAAGCATAACTTGAAGAAATTTTAAGATTTTCAAACCCTATTAAAAAGAGACCTTGGAGGCTATTTCATCCTTTTTTATCTTGTTTTCACCTTATATATTCCTCGCCTTTTACATATCTTTTTCACCACCCTGCTCGTGATCATTGGTATATTCTTACTGGAACTTGGAGCTTTGAGGGATTCGTATTTGAAGTCTGGGAACTCTTCTTATCTCCAATCCTTGGGGATAATCTAGTTCGCTATTTTATTTCGGCTATGACTTTGTTTATGATTATTTTAGTTCTTTTCTTTAGCATAAGTAACTAAGTCTATAGTTAGGGCTATCACACTCTTGTTTATGAATTTATGTGATTTTGATGTTTGAATCAATGTTTATCCTATTGTGCATAATTGTATGCTATGAATTTGCCATTCGTAACATAACTCTAATTAATTACATCGTAAGCAACCGTTGTGACACTCTAGTATTCCAGACTTAACATATAGCAAACACATACATGAGGGAATAATATTTATTTATAGCACGTATAATATTTAGAGAGAGAGAGTTAACATACATGACCTAAGTTAATTTAATCTTTATTATATTAACCGTTAAGTGAAGGGATAAAAGAATCAAATGCACACATGTACATTTTTACACCTATACCATTTATTGTAATAATATGGAAAATATCATGCATTGGATTTGATCATACTTTGTACATCAAAGAGGTTATTAAGTCATATCCCAAGACAAGTCAATTAATAGTACAAAAATCACTTACATACATCATTTAAACATCAA